CCACAAAAGTTGGAAAAACTTGAATTTAAATGATTTTTAGCACCACCCTGGTCCTMAAAATTTTTGGAAAATAATATTTWATATTTTTAAGATCTAACTCTGTTTTCCTCAAAGTTCAAATGTGATGAGGATGACATGAAATGTGCTGAGGTGAGCAACATTAACAGTTAMGAACGCCGCAAGGCAGTTGATTTCTTCTTTCCCCTCCCTTAATTTCGTTCAAAACTTTGATTCACTTTAAGAAAAACTGTTACAGATCAATGTAAAATATCGTAAAAATATTTTCCMYACAAAGACTGTATTTTGTATGGCACCTATATATATGCTATTGTGGTCCGATCTGAACAAATTCTTCGGATATATCTCGTCTAATAAAAAAAACTTGAACTTAATGCTTGCTTTTGTAAGGATATCTCAAAAACTGTGGGACTACTTCGCCTAAATATAGACGGGCATGCCTCAATCGGGTCAGCTCGTCAAGCTGATCAMTTATATATATATATTATAAGATCTCCGACGTCGACTTACAGGTGTTACAAACATCGTGATAAACTTGATAAACCCTGTTCGGAGTATAAATACTTAGAAATGACAAATTCGATTCATTCTTCTGTAATGAATTGTCAAAGTTCGGGTTTTTCTTAGGACTCTAGACTGGCGAAAGCAGTAAAATGTTATATATTCTGCAGTACTAAATGCCTTATACTCTAAATTTTTTAATCGACCAAAGTAGCCGTGAAGTATTTTTAGTGTTAAGTATTTCAAATTGTATTCTATTTTCCATATATAATATTACARGACAACGAATTTTCTCTAAAAAGGAATTTTAATTTAAATTTTTTGCGAAATATTCGAACGAGGATATTATGAAACTTCGAAAACTATATTTTTAAGGCAGTGTACACTCACTTTGTCTGCATCCCGGAAAAATATACTTCACGCAACACTTTTGGGTGAGTCACTGTTTATTTAGGAGCCTTGATCTCAAATTGCATTTCAAGGAAAACGAAATGAATTTGCAAATGATACTCCATGAGCTTTTCGATGATATTCAAAAGGCCTGGATAACRTATGCCTAATCTCGAAATAGAAAAAAACATTTTCAAAATATTCTCATTAATTCCCAATTGCTTTCGCTGTAATAATAAGAAACCTTGACAAATAAACAAGTTTTCCATAGAAGGATTTGGTTTGGATCGTTAAACTTGCTATAGTTGTCCGATATTGGCGGTTCCGACGACTGATCAGCCTCATGRTAAGAAAATGACATGTGCAAAATTTCAGATCGATATCTCACACCCTGAGGGACAAGTTCGCGTATATACAGACAGGCAGCCGAACACGGCAAAATCGACTCTTCTTCTTCGCAACAGAAATTATTAAAAAAAAATTAAAAAGTCACATAAAAACAAAGCTTTAAGACCTAGTACATATTAAAAAAAAAAAAAAAAAGAATTTAAACAAATAATGCAGCAACAACAACAACTGATTACAATTATATGTACCTATAACAAACGATGATAGCGAGCACAGGTGTTGGTCGTGTCGTATACGCGTTTGTTTGCATGTGTATATGTGTGTGTGTGTTTTACAAATGCGTTAAAATACCGCAAATTAATAAATTATAATAAAAAAATTAAAATAAAATAAATGGAAACAAATTTTCGCCACTCTTCTGTTAATAAAAAGTTTGCTTCTGCATACGGCGCACTTACCGCTTTCATGATGCTCTTGTCCCAGGCGACACACGACTCCAACACGTACAGCGCCATCGCCAGCTGCGCSGTGGTGTGCGAACGAGCGACCGCGTCGCGCCACGACGCCAAGCCTTTGGGTATATTCTCCACCTTCTCGTCCTTCTCACTGTCACAATTGCTCGCGGGCGAGTCGCCGCCCGAATTGTTGCCGCTGGTGTTGGCTGTGTGACCGCCCGCAGCATCGGCGCCGGCGTTGCCAGCAGCCGCAGCGGCCGCGGCAGCATTGGCAGCCGCTATGGCCATGGCGCGCTCATTGAAGGCCGAGGCGTTGATGACATTCTGTGTTTGTTGCGTTTGCATATTGATGAGTTGTTGTTGTGCAGCCTGTTGTTGTTGCATTTGCAGGAGGAACGCCGCAGCGGCAGCCGAGTTCTGTGTCTGTGTGGTGGTATGCTGATTTTGTGCAATGACCGCCAAATGTGCGTCACCGGTTTGTGAGCCGAGCGGCGGTTTCAAGTAGCGGCGCTCAATGTTCGCCTCCAGATCGATGATACGTTCGCGTATCATKGGTATGATGCTGATGAAGTCTTCTTCGGTGACATCTTCCAGTTCGAGATTGATTTCGTTTTCGATGCGCGGCGGCAGCTGCCAATTCTTCAGTTGCATAGAGGCGCTGGCGATTTTGTCCTCCAAAGCTTCGAGTTGATCAAGCAGTGCGAGTTCGGTGCGTTTGGCTATCTTTGGATTCCAATCGTGTGGCTTGTCCGGTTGCATGTATGGCACATCTTCGCCTGGTTTGCTTGCGAGCGGATATTTGATGCCGATGGTGGGCGGATCTTCTTGCTGCATGAAACGCAAGAGATTCTCTTGCAGATCGCGTTCGCGTAAACCGCTCGCATCGAGCGTATCGATGACGCGCTGCAACATTTCGAAAGTGTCMACCTTCCACCAGCCATAGCGTAGATCACGTGATACATATGAGCCAACCAACTTTTTGGGAAAGCCTTCTTTTTTCACTTTCTCCAATTGCTTTTGCTCTTCCGGTGTCATGGAGAGCGGCGTTTGCACGTCATATTGCAGGAATGTGGTGAGATTTTGCAGTGACATGTTGGCTAAATTCTGTATGGACATGCCGGCTATGTCGTCCATGCGTATTTCCAATCTGACCGTGTTGAAGTCCTGTTCTTTGGCTTCACCGTTGGCAGCATCGTTGGCGTCTTTGTTTGGCTTACACTCAAGACCGCTGTCGGCTTTTGTTTCATTCAAATATGGAAAGAACTTTTTCTCTTCCGCGCGATCTTCTTCATGTTCCTCACCCTTCACTGCGTCTGTTTTGATGGCTGGCGTTGTTGATGATTTGATGGCGGCAGCAGCCGCTGATGTCGATGGTTTGCAGTCGCTTTCGTACTTTTGCTCATCCTCTTCCTCCTCATCACCGCTCTCCGCGGCATCCTCACTCTTCAATSGCTGACGAGGAGACTCYAGGCAGTTTTTTGAKTGCGCCGGTGATGCCAACGCTGTATCGGCATCCGGGTCTTCAGCGGCTGCGTTCGCTGCCATAAGCATTTTCTGCTCATATTCACGTAACTTCTTCTCCATTTGTTTCTCGTCGAGGCCGGAAAGTGATAATATGCACTCCTGCACGAATTTGCTTGGATCCACTTTGCATTCGTCCAGTGTTACGTTGAAGAACGGCACGACATTCTGCACCTCCCACGGATGGCCCTGTGTCTGGAAGAGAGAGTCGCATGAGATATTTGCGATAGACATCTTGTACTCTTTGAGGCTGGCTTCATCCATCGGCTCGGTCGACATCAATGGCAATTCGCGATCGAGTATCGAAAACCACTTATCTGAGACATTTACCGGCTGTTTGAAGAGCGCATCATCGGCGCTCGTGGCCGACACGATAATGCAGTCGTCCTCCTTCTTTAAGTCCTCGGCCTTCACAACGCTATCGATAATGGCTGCTGTCGTGCTGCTCACATCCGTGACGCCAATGCTGCCAGCAATGCTGCCTGGAGCGCTGTTTATTATTGCTGCATTGTTGTTGTTGCTGTTGCTRCAACTGACTATYGTGTTGTTGGCGCTGCCTRGTAAACCCGTTGCTGCTGGCAGCGACATCGGTAATGGCATTGGCATCGGCATCGGTGTTGACGTCGGTGTTGGCATCGTCATCGGCGACGCTGAGCCGGACGCTGTCGGCGACGCCATTGCAATCTCATTTTTATCACAGTTTTTTTCGCCGATAACATTTGTCGTCGTGGTGTTTGTGGCGTTCGCATTGGCTGCAGCTGCGGCGGCGGCGGCGGCGGCAGCAGCGGCAATTGCTGCATTGAATTGCGCCGGTATGGCTGGTATTTTGATCTCGGCCTCAAAATCGGTCTTGGTGGAGATGGTGGCCGCGTCCACATGTGGCTTCTTACTCAAACCGTAATTGTCAAGATCGATATCCATGCGCTTCGGCGCTGGTATTGTGGCGGTATGCACGACGTCATCATCATCGTCATCGTCATCGCGCAAATCGACAATCTCCGGTTCGTCTTTGCTGGTGAGCACAACGTCGTCGTCGTCATCGTCTATCACCGCTGCGGGCGTAATGTTGCATATATTGCCATTGGTGTTGTTGTTGGTGTTAATGACAGTTGGATTAGTTGTGGTCACTTCGGCTAAATCATCGACTTGCATTCTTTCAACTGGCTCCTTCACGGCTAAAGTTGTAGCTGTGGCCTCCGTACATTCGCCCTCATCCCCACCATTTTTACATACGTTGCCACTTTCCTTGTTGCAATCGATCTCAGCGCCTTCGTCAGCATTCTCTGTATCTGCACCCTCCTCTTCAGCTTGTTCGCTGTCCTCTTCTTTGCACTCCTGCTTAGCCTCACTTTCGCCATTCAACAGTTTAGCAGCACGCGCCTCCTCAGCCTCCACTTCCAAAACTTCCTGATAGTGGAAGATGTCGTTCTGTGCAGATTCCAATGCTTCGATGAARATGCCGCCKGCTTTCGGCAACTTCCAATAGCGTCGCCAGAAACGATCTTGTCCAAAACATGTGGCGCGCAGCTGATTCGTGCTCTTCTCCAGCAACTCTTTGCAATTCATTGATGCGCGCAATATCTTATCGAGCTTCTTTTGTAGCTCATCGGCGCTCAAACGATTGTCCTCATCCTCCTCTACATTTGTAATCTCCGATTCCAAGTCGCTGAGATCATCGTCCAAACCCACATCTGTTGGTATTGTCTGCTCATCGTTGCCTGGCTTTTTCGGCAACAGATTACTCAAATCGGGCGTTGCCACCTGTGCCATTGCTGTTGTAGGGCAAACGGCCGACAAACCGGCTGGCATGCTGGCGATTCCATTCTGATAAGCTGGTACACCAACGATGGACTCATCCAACTTTGGTTGCTTGTTGGGCGTCACCGCGTTGTCGTTGTTGTAGCCCTTTGCGGGGCTCAGATCGTATTTTAGACCATCGAAGACGTTAGGTAATGTTGGCATCGGCAACACATGTGGCAGTGTTGGTTCTGCGAGATTATTGACGCCAACAACTGCTGCAGCGCTTGCGTCTGCGCACAAAGGTAGTGACTGATTATCCTTTTCAGCTTTCACGCTGTTTGATTCATCGCAGTTATTAATGATGGACACATCGCCGTCAACGTCCATTTTCTCGGCATGCGCCGTTGCCATATCGTTCTCGTCCTTGCTGTGATGCTCACCATTGTTGGTGACGCCGCTGCTGTTGTTATTATTATGTTCGGCGCCAGTCGGTGAGGGATTATTAATGTTGCTGCTGACTGCGGTTTCGCCACCGTTGGCGCCATCAACTGYTGTGGCGCTGCCACTGTCGCCATCTTTCTCTTCGCTCGGCTTCTCTGCSGTCACGGCATTGGTGGTMGCTGCCGCRGCGGCATTGGCTGCAGCTTCAGCGGCCGCCGCAGCGGCTTCCGCCTCCTTCTGCATACGTTCGGCATCGGCTTTCTGCTGCGCGACAATGGCGGCTTGCATGGCCGCCTCGCGTTCCGCCTGCGCCTTCTCGTACGCCTCAATGCGCGCCTTGCGTTGATGCAGCGCCTTGTATTTGCGCACCTTCATGTCGGTCATGTACTTCTCTTTGCGCATTTGTGCGCACGTCTCTAGGCTGCCGTCGATCTGTTTCAGCACCGCCTTGTTCATTAGCAGGTCATTGCAGAGATGGGCGAGTATTTGTGCCTTGCGTGTGGGATTCAATGCGACGAATGGACGATTCTTGAGCGAATGTGATAGCTTCCAAGTCTCATTTTCATGTAACAATTTGTAGTATTCGGCATTTTTGCCCGAATGGGACGCGGTTTCGGCGTCCACCTGATGATGATCGGGTATGCGACGTTCGCGCTCACGATCCATGGTTATGCCGTGCAGTTGACGTATCTCACCGGTGGCGGTGGCATACAGATAAATGCGTAGTATCTCCGAAACATTCGAATTGGTTATGTCGGCGTTACGTAACGATTGTCCGAGCAATGTGGTGTGTCGTCCCGGATTCGGTATGCCGGGATCTTCGATGGCGCACACCAACAGATGGGTCATCACAGATAGCAGCTCCTCCTCAGCGTCGGGATTGCTGTCACTAATCAGTGCGTCGTGCAGATTCTGCAAGCTCGGCAATGACTCCATGTCTGTAAGGTGAAGTGATGTGGCATGTTATAGTAAGCTGTCGTGATAATAATAATGGTACCCAAAAACTTACCGAAGCCTAAGGTTTCACCAAAGTTATGCAAGAATTCGAAAACCATCAGCAGATCGGCCATAGCTTGACCAGGCAAACGATTTCCACCGATGCGTTCCAGCTCGGGCAACTCGTGCGGATGTGCAACTTCAGAGTCCTCATTTGGTTTTCTATTAGAGAAAAGAGTGAAAAGGGTTAGCAAACTGTTAGACTGCATTTGCTGCATGCTGCGTGTTCTTGTAGTTGCTGTGCTGTGTTGTCTTTTGCTGTTCGTGTCAATATTATTTGAAAATTTCTTTGACAGCACCTCACCTTATTTGGGCTAAAATTTCAGAGTCACGCTTTCGTATAGCCATACGCTTCTCGCGCAATATCAGACGGTCTAAGATCATTTGATGCTTCTTCTTCTCACGCTCGACAAACTTGCGGCGCGCCTCCAGCTGGCGCACAAGTGCCATATGTTGACGACGGCGTTCGCGTTCCTGCGTTTGTGAAATGAAGAAAAGTTAGGTTAAGCATTTCATGATATAAAAATATATAAGTTTTTTATTTGTAGACTCACCATCTCGGCGGCAAGTAACGCTTCTTTTTGTTTTTGGAGTTCCTGCAGGTAAAGTAGTTTGCATTAGTATTGATATTTGTAGAAAGAAAATTTAATTTTCAAACAAGCAATCAATTCAACAAATGCTACGGAAGTAAAATGGTGAAAAATACAATTTTAGTAACGGAAATAATGTTTACTTTTACTCTAAACGAAAATACAACATATTTTTGACAAGTAAGGAAGCGCTTAGTACAGTTGGGACCGGRGGCTAAAAACTCTTGCAGAGTTTAAGACTTGAAGTTTCATATTTCGAAACTGCCGTTACACCGAAGCTATAATACTTTTCACAAACATCTATAGCGGTCCGATCTAAACAATTTTTCAGAGAATGTACTGTTACTTTCGAGCATAATTTATGCCAAATTTTGTAAAGATATTTCGCCAAATAAAAAAGTTTTTCATACAAGGACTAGTTTTTGAACAATGATTTCGTATGGGAGCTATATGCTATAGTAGTTCGATTTGAAGAAGTTCTTCGGAGATTGTACCGTTGCCTTGAATAATAATGTATGTTAAATTTGGTGGAGATATTTCTCCAAATAGAAATATTTTGGCAGCTATGTATATGCTATAGTAGTTTGATTTGAAAAAGTTCTTCGGAGATTATACCGTTGCTTTGGACAGTAATCTATACCAAATTTGGTGGTGATATTTGGCGAAATAAAAAAAAAAATTCATACAAGGACTGGATTTTGAGAACGAGTTTGTATGACAGCTATATGCTATTGTGATGCGATCTGAATAATTTCTTCGGTAACCTCTCTTTAAAGAATATTTGTATCGTCGATCATTAAAAATCAGTCGAACTTCTTGTACTTGTGGACTACCGCTATATGGAAARCGGAAAATTGGACGCAGAAGAAAACATACAAATGTAACGAAATCGATGCGGCTCGAGTTTTGATGGACATGGTGCTGTGTTATCTATCTGTACTATGTATTTCTTCTACAAACTACCGTTAGATGCACAAAACTAGATATA